TAATCTAAAGAATACAGTAATAAGTAATATGTAATACATATAAAATATTATACATTTTCAATATCTAACCTATTATGTGAAAGTTTGTAAAAGGAAGACTATATGGTGTCATTGCAAATAAAAATAATACTATGTGCTGGAATGTTGATAAAATATGTACCTGGAGGTATTCGTCAACTGACTGTTGTAAAAAATATGTGCCTATCAATAAATAAATAGCTGCACGTTGCGTTGTATTGGTTGCTCTGGAACTGGTGTTAGAATATGCGGATATAGCACCGTAGATGTACCATTATGCAGAAACTAACCCTAAAATTAGGCAGAGATAAAAAAGTCGTTTAATAACTTTAATTGCATAAATCATGTGACTTTTGTTGCCGATTTGTTGCCTTCTCTTTCTTTCTTCTATTAACTATTGTTTTTTCTTTCAAGTTTTCCTAAAGCGGAGTGATTTTATAATATTTCGACATATTTACCTATCACTGAGATGCCGATTCTATTGCGCGGTGTTTACGTTCGATTACTGTTAGTGGTGAGAATCGTGTTACAATAGAGGGAATGTGAATGAATGAAATTTCTGGTAATAATATGTACATTTTAAATTAAACCGTTCATCGTTTAATTAATGTTTCTTAAAATATTTCATTTAAATGGCTGACTAACACCACCATAAGGTTTTGGACCTAAACAACTTTCATTGAAAGTTACATTTTGCTTCAAAATTCATATCGACGTGTGGTGTTCTACCATTTCATTGTTTTCCTATAACATGCTCATTTGAATCACTTCAACACCTATAACAGAATACATTTGATTGTGTAAAAATATATATTTTTTTAATTCAACTGGATTTACCAGAATAAATATTACGATAAAAAGATTTCTTTGAATTCGGGAACTCTGATAAATATTTTCTTTTACAATTTATTGTTTATTACTCATGATTTTACGAGAGGAAATGTATTTCTGAATTAATTTATTACTTGCGTTCACCGAGTGCCCTTGATTAAATAGTGTAAATTTACTGAAACATGTAATAACGAACGATTAAACAAAGTACTATAAACCCGGCAATCTCGTGCGCGACCGTCCCGCAGGGTGCACACGGCTACACACGATTCCCTTCCCCGCTACACCACCCGCTACCCGCTGCCATCTTGAGTACCTCGTCCCCGCCACCGTCTGTCACCCCGCAGGACGGTCGCGCACGACGTTGATGGACTATAACCATTCTAACATCATTTAAATAATACATTTATTATAATCATTAATGTATACTATTACATATAATTTAATTCTTAGTTTAAACGAAGCTCTTCGTGTACACAACTAAATTATTGCATTGCTTTATACAAATTGAGGTTGCGTGACGCCAATTTAATATCTAGCTAAATAACATGAGTGGGTTGGTTTGGCACTTCATCTCACTATATCTTACTTAAAGAAATATCATTTGTAGCCGGAGAAGCGAAAAGCCTCATTCTGTACATTATACAGAAACCATGACAAATAGTTTTGAAAGTGACAGATTTGTTCGTCTTAACAATATTAATTTGCATTGGCAACACTTTATTTATCACGAGGCATCTTTTGCGAATTGATTTTTATAAACTGTGATTTATTTAGTCATAAGTCCAACTATGTATTAGTTTGTGCATAGCGTTTAAAAAATTAAAATAAAAGTTATGAACATAACTACATTGTTAGACATATACAAAATGGATGTAATTTTATAAACTAAATCTCTTTTGGAATCAGTTCGAAAAACCGCGCTAATTGTTTCTGAGACTTGTGATAATAAAACTGGCCATGTGAGCTAGACTGTACAAAAAGAAAAAAAATATTGAATAGGGACTCCCGACGATATTTTATAATGTCTAAACTCCATTCGTTACATGTTTATGAATAAAGGTAACACAAACTTTATTGTGCTGTACCTATACCTAAATAGAAGTAAACAAACAAGAAAATACAAATGGACGCATTGCTTTTTAATAATTTAAAGTCAGACTTCCATGGTTCAATTGACGGCATTTGTAACGGATTCCGTTATATTATGTGTTACACCACACCAAAGTACAGTTAAGGCAACATAATTTTCAAAAATGTTATCGGTTCTCAATGCGCTGTCGTTTAGGCTCGTATATTGGAAGAATACTGTCATTGTTTATTGTTATAATAGTAATTTATTACTGACATTGTTTTATTGTAAATTTGTCATGTCTTTAAACCTATTGAAGGCGTGAAAATCCAATATAAATTCTTATATTCTGCATGAATGTCACGGCAATTGAATGATAAAAAGATCAAAAATAAAGTCATTAAAGTTAGTTAGTGTCTATTAAGCCAGTTTAAATTGCACCTTATATTTACTAACTGAAACTCTATGGAACAACTCTGCTCAATAACCGTTTTTGATTAAACCCGGAAGACGATCTAAATTTAAATAAGGAAAAAATTAAAAAAGTATGATTTGAAAAACGAATCGGATCTGGCTTAAAGACAGCTACTAGCTAAATAGAGAACTAACAAAAGTTGAGCATTATATTTCGTCATGGTGGGTGTGCCTACTAGGAAGTGTATTTCTTTAATCTAAAGTAGTTTGTACGAATAATAGACATTTAACACGCATACTTATGTTACAACAGAGATAGCGTACATTTCAATGCGAGGGCCTCTAAAAAGGGCGGTAATTTTTTTGTGGGTAGGACGTGTGGTATGCCTTGGGTCGGTCGGCATCGAATAAATTATGAACAATCGATTAGAAGGCTGTCACTTGCCGTCAATAGCCAGTTACAGGAATGTGACCCTAGCTAGCTTAAGTTATTGCTCATATACCCCAATCCTCCATTTCGTATAAACAATATATCTATCATAGCATTGCATTCTCAAATATTACAGTACCCTTTAGGGTAATACTTTGGCAGGGTTGACACGGCAATAGGCTTGCCGCATATTATGTAAATAGTTTTGCCTCTGCCTATCCTTTTCAGGGTTTAGGCTTGAATATATGTTACTTTTGGTTAGTGGGATCCATCCCTAAGATATCTTGTTTATAAGGAGGCCTTCATGTATTAGAACGTACGCGTATCTTGTCCATCGTAATTAAGTGATATTCCTATAATATATCTATGTATATTAAAGCATCATTTCGCACCATCAAACATTACCAACAATAAGTGACAACTGTGAGTACAAAGAGAGCTAATTAATCACCAAAGTTGAAGATTCATTAGTTATGACTTTGCTAATAAAGTACATTTTTCTGTGTACAATTGTCGTCTCGCTCGGTACCATGGATTATTTCATGATAGAAAGAGAGACGCAACTATTCAAGGACATACACGTGTGGCCTAGTGGGCCGTAATTCTTAAAACACTTCAATTTTTTTAGTAATATCTGTATTTAATTATTAGCAGTCATGAAATTTTGAATTTCGAGAAGAACATTTACACAATTACATTTATATGTACATACTTTAACACATAACCTAAATGTCCAAGTGAGATTTCTTCGTGCACCCCATACACTCGACTAGGGAGTATGTGTCTATATTTACATAACACGTGTCCGTTCGGAATTACTCGAACGATTTAAGTAATTAAAATTAAATAACAGTTAGAAGTTACAATGGAACAAATTAGTTACTTAGTAATTTAAAAAGTTTTGTGCCCCGGCAGATATTAGTCACATTTTCGTTAAAATGGACATTAAAACGAACTGCAAATATATTAATAAAAATTGTAATTTAAAAGTGTTTACTATTCTGCAGATGCACTGAGTGTAAGCAGAATAACAGTCATTTGTGACCATTGATGGCCTATCTATTGATGGTTTCTCTAATCACTCTTTAAACATTATTTATTCGTGATTAATTCACGTTCACGTGATTCACACAAAAAAATAACAAACGTACCATATGAATGACACCGCAAACATAGCAAGATTAGTTCTGTTCCATCTAACACATCTGTCAATTATAAAACAACTTACTTACAGCGTGTTCTATTAATCAAAAAATTACAATAAACCAGTTGTCTGAATTGTTTTGCATCTTAACATAAGATTCACAAAAGTGAACATCTATATTTACAAACGTAACGATGTTACCTAAACAACTATAACAAATATCCATATTACACTAAATAATATATTTTTATATAGATGTCTATTTTCTATGTAACATGTTGCTCTTAATTCTTTGAGCAGTGTTTGTAGGCCAACTGGTTACATTTTTTGTATTTTTTCTTTATTTATTATGTCTGTATGTATATTTATTTAATGTCTTTAAATAACTGTAAATTTAAAGACAGTAGAATATTTTATTAGTAAAATAATTACTAAATGCAATAAGTATTTACTTTAAATAAATGTCATCAAATTCAACAACTGATTGACACACGTAAACATCATTATCTAAAGTGGCCGCAATCGAAGATTTCAATTCAGACCAGTCTGTTTCTTTGTTGAAGTTAATCGGAATAATTAATAAATTTTGAAATTTCACTTCATAATTCCGATTTTTCTTTTTTACTAGTATTTTATATTTTTATTATTATGCTAAGATTATCATTTGAATGAGTGATCTCGACATCAAGGGTACATTTAATAATAAGAAGGGTATCTATCTACACTAGGTATGCCACATTTGACGAGCATCACTCGCCATACATATATTTCTTCGGTAGCTACTCTAGGTACACATATATTTACAGGATGACACATCTCACTATTATAAACTAATAGAAGACATTTATATTCTCGCCAATTCGTTACACCACCCTACTTAATTTACTTTTAAAAACCCACCGGCAACTACACAAGACGTCGTTCCGTCAGACACTGACAACATCACAACTCTCTAAATATAAGGGTTATGCCATAAAAAATAAAGTTGATATTTCTGGTCGAGTCGGTGGTAGTGTGAGTTAGACGAGGTCGGGCGGGTCCGGGGCGTGCGGCTCGAAGTGCAGCTCGCGCTCGGCGAGGCACAGCTGACATCAGTCCAGCGCGCCGATGCACTCCGGCTCCTCGCGCACGCACTCCTTGGGGAAGTAGCCCGACCTGTTGTCGCCCTGGAACAGTCCGCCTATCGTTGTACTTGTTAGCACGTTACACGCGCATTAAGCATATCGTTTTGTGACAACTGTGTCACCTCAATAACAGTACCCCAAATAATTTCTTTATATATTATTATGATGATTTTATTATTTCCGTAATATTTTTGCTAGGCAGCTAAATCTCTGTTTCGATGTGTGTATAAACATTAACACACAATTATAGTAATAAAATGGTAACTGAACAACGGTAGTTTCACTACATACTTTTGAAATAAAAGGGCTTATATTTAAAAATAACTGTTCAATCTAGTTCTATGAATAAACCATTGTTTTAAGATTTGTTTTAATTTTTAAGATTTTAAATTATACTACCAGACATTTAAACTACCGTTCTGGTGATAGCCTTCTAAGATTGGTACAAGTTTCTACAGAGCAATCCATTTAAAAAAAAAAAAAAAAAGTTGTTTTTAAAGAAAATAAATAAATAAAAATAAAATAATAAATAAATAAATTTTGATATTTATTAGTATCAAAAATTAGTTTCTTTAGTAACAAACCCTGTTCCTAAGATTTATCTCTGTGTAGAACAGAGTGAGTGTTAGGATGAGCCAATGTTAGAATTTGATAGGAATTGATGAGTCCCTTTGGTTTTTATGACAAAACCATAGACACTATTATTTTCAACACATTTCTATTCATGAAAAACTTGGTTCTGTTTTAGAGTCTCAAAACCAATAAAATATCGTAAAGTAAATTTTTCCAAATACAATTTCAGCAAAAACCGATCTTGGTTTTCAATAGGGCCTTAAATTATAAGTACCTACAATGCAAATAGTCATTTACCTTATCAAGTGTTCGGCCTTTCCACCATCCTCGGCTATCACCTTCTTTACTAAGCACCAGCACCTTAGAGCCAGGCCTTAACGCCAACTGCGTGGACTCCAGTGGCCGGAAGTCATGGATCACTGTAGCTACCACACGTCGGAATGGCCAGCGAAGATTCGAATTTAAACTGAAAAGAAAAATGACAGAAGAAAGTAAATATTAGAATATATAATACTCGCTTTGAAATATACAATACTATTTAATAGGGTTATCATAAGTTACTATGCACTGCCTTTTAATAGTGACTATTATTAAAACATATGTTTACGTGTGCTGTTACTATAAAGGATATTTGGATAAACTTTTCTTAAAGTAAAAATATTGTATTGTCGCTTGGTCTCTCGTGTTTTGCAAGCCATATTTCATGTCATTCGGAGAGCCATGCTTCGGCACAAGAAGGGCGGCTCGAACGGACTATTAATAATAATCGAATCATCCTTACCCTTCGAAGTTCTCAGAGAGGCTCGTCTTCTCATAGTAGGTGATGAGCTCGACGATGGAACGGAAGAACCGTGATTCTGAGAGGAAGTAGTGCTGCGTCTGGTCGATTGGTTTGCGACACACCCGCATGTGTTTCACTGTGTTATCCGTTCTGTTGTACAATGGCGAAAACACATAATGAAATTAACCATCATATATTTTCAAATAAGGAAAAATAGAAATAAATTATAATTTTCATCAAATTTGCAATAATATTTGCATTATATGGTCCATCCGCGTTAAGAAAATAGTGACGTATCGAATACTATTGCAAGGCTTGATCGATTGGAATAATATTTGTAAGCTACAGTCATTCGCGTTAGGAAAATAGTGATGCATCGAGTACTATTGCGGGGATTGATCGATGCGTCATTTACGCATTACCATTCTTAACGCGAATGGACTGTAGTAAAGTTTATTCTACATTGCGTTTTGATATTGAACTGACACTTTTACAGTGAAATTAAACTAAACACCTGTGTTAAACTGTATAGAGCCCAGTAAAGAACTAATGAATAAAAGTAATTAACTGATTATATTATAGGCAACTCGCCCTGGGTACTGTGCAGTGTTTTCTGTAGTTACTTAGCTTAACTTCTGAAGAAGCCCACAATGACTGATGAAACATGTACTGATCCTCCGTTACACTTATAATATGTTGAATAGTATAAGATATAGGTACTTGAGTGATAGCGCATAGTTGGTGTCGTTGGGGGCGTGGTTGGGCGTCTGTTGGGGGTGGGGCCGTACGCGCAGCAGGAACGTGCCGTCCACACGACGCTCTAACCGCGCTGTGGCTGTCTCGCGACCCATCTCACCCACGTACCTGGACCATCACATTGCAATCAGGTAAAACGTTTCTTTTAATAGAATTAGTTCATTAGATTATTCTTGGCATGATATTATATCTTCTGCAGTGGGTACATGGGTACCCAGGTACATCACAGTTTAAAATAAAATGAAATCTAAATTATAGATAATTTACAAAGCGCAAAATTAAAGCATCATGATATCTTGCAAACAACTTCAGAATGGTCTAGATTAATTTTAATAAATTAATGGTAATAGGCCAAAACCTCCTTTCTAAGGAGAGGCCTATGTTCAGCAGATGATGATGATGAATGGTAATTGTTGGCCTTCAATAGACTTGCCTATAGGATAATTTTATACATATATGTATTGTCTATTACACGTTGTGCATCTAAAGGAATGAGAATAGACAAACAGAACCGCCGTAAGAACACTTACCACATGTAGTAGTGTAGCGCCTGGTCGGGCTGATGGTGATGTGGGGGGAGGGGAGGAGCAGGCGCCAGGCCTCCCCCACAGCGGCCTGACAACGCTATGCACTCCTTGTGGGCGCAAGCGTTACACACTGAGCAGAGGTAACCCTGCACAAATGTCTCCATTAATCTGAATTCCAACTCATAAAAGCTAGCGACTTTTTTGTTTACACGAAAAGCTGTGGCCTTCTGTGTAACCTGGCACTAAAAATAATACTACAGTTTTATATTAAAGCAAGCAAAACCGCTCGAAAAACTAGTTTTATGGGAAATATTTTAAATATTATGTTTACCTGAAATAAGCGTCCTTTGAGGAATTTCGAGCAATGATGGCACGTGGCGGGTTTCTTGAACGTGTGCAGAACAAATTTGTGGTTCGTACTCCGGCAACCGGGTGGCTCAAGGTTGTCACTAGTTTACACAGATAAGTAATTATAAAAACTTTTAGTAGGCCAGCTGGGTTGGAGTACGTTAATGTGGATTGCTATTTAGTATGTTTGTGGATATAGAACTGACGGTAAACCGGCGTGAAGCCCACTTTCTTGCTGATGTTGGGGGAGACCTCAAGAGGGGGGGAGGGAGTAAACGCACCGTAACATTTGCGATACCATAACCGGTTTCATAGTGATACATAGTTTTGGCTAATTGCTTGTTTTATTCTTTGAACATTGTTTAGTTTTAAGCGAAGTCTGTTAATAGATTGCTCAAAAGTGATATAACGTCTAGACAAACCTGTTAAGGTTTTTGTGATGTTTTATAGCCTAAAACTTCATTATACATTTTGTCAATAAATGAAAAAAAAAAGAACAGTGGCACTCAGAGTGCCGACAGAAGTGAAAACTTATATACAGAGGTGTCGGCAACGGTGACGGGACCGTTAATAGTGTCGCGAGTTTAATTATTTTTACCATCTCAAAATGTTCAACGTGCCTAATGAAGTTTTCACTTCAACAGAGGTATCGGTAAACGTAAGTGTCTCTCTCGAGTTCAATGGTTTTTCCCATCTCAAAAATGTGTTTTTTGTTAAACCATAAAATACATTCTTTTGTTTGTTGTTCAAAAAAAGAAGTTTTTAATTAAGTGGAGATGTCCACGCGCGGCGGTAGTCACTTAACTCGTAAGGTGGGTGTTAGAGGTGAGCACTCACATGGCGTCGCGGATGGCTTTGACCCACTTGCGCTTGGCGTCGTCGGACTTGGCGTAGAGCGTGAAGGTGGCGTCCTTGGTGCGGCGCACGAGGTAGAAGTGCGCCGTCCAGCGCGCGTCGCCCCTGAGCGCGCGTCGCGCCAGCCCCTCCTCCACGCGGTACTCCGCCAGCCGCACGCCCACGCGGCACGAGTACTGGTTGTCCTGCGGGCGGGCTCTCGTCTAACCTTATCGATACTACGACTAAACCGTTTCAATCTCTCCGTTCATTTTGTGTATATCAATAGTAATCTTGAAAATTCAAAATCGTTCGCTTAACACACATTAAAAATCTTTTGTTATACATGTAAATATCAATATTACAACTTTTCAATTATTTTCTCTTTGTTTTTTAATTAATATATCCAGTGCACCTAAGGCACACTTTCCGTACCACCCTCTGGCGTCAAGTCCGTCATGGTACATGTCTATAAAGAATTTAATTATAATATTTATTCGTATTTCTATAATGATCATCAAGAATTTTCGCATACAACAAAGAAATGAAAAAAAAAAAACATACAAGTTTTACACACACATGAAAGATACGCACAAAAAACGTAACGAGGTCATTCGATCACTAAATTTTACTCTATTTTTTCATACCGGACCTTATAAGAAAATCGATTCTTAAGAAGTAAACTTCAAAAACTTTCACCCGAAAGAACTAGCCGCAAATAATAATAATATTGTTGAAGTAAAAAAAAAAATAGTTACATAATATCTTATAACGTACTAGTGCTTAAACCAAAATTACCTTAACTTTGCACAACAGCATAAGCTTGTCAAAAACGAACACGTATCGTAACCTCAGCTTCTGATCTTCATGAGCTTTGACTTTGAGCTCTCCGTCGAGAAGCAGACGGCCGTACGCCGCTAGCCCCGCCCCGCCCGCACCGAGCACGCCTGCGTCCCAGTCTATTATACTCTCCTGCAACAAACATTAGAAGGAAGTGAGACTTGAATTCTAATGACATTATCATAAAACCTATAGATTCGATCGGCTTGTTTATCTAGTAGTTTGAGACCCAAACTGACAAGCCAATTATGTAATTTACTGCTATAGTTATGTAATATAGTGCTACGACTATCAGGAGCATGACAGTGAGTACAAATGTAGGTGAAACGATCGGGTAGTAATAGACAATACAATACCTGAACTTTCGCGAGAAGCACAAGAACCTCGCTGTCTCGTTTGACTTCGTTGATGTACTGTGCCACGTCCACCATTGCCTCCTTAGCACGCTCTAGGCCGCGGAATTCTTCGTGATTCTGGCGATAAATGAAACATCAATTAATGATAGAAAAGAAAACCGAACAATATATTTTGTGACAGATAGTGAAACAAAAACATACTTCAGTGCCAGGAAGAGAAGGCACACCGAAGTACGAAGTAACTAGTAATCCTGAATCGCGATATGAAAAATTCTCACGCCGATTAGCATATATAGAACTTCAATACATAAACCGTTGAGCCGCGAACTAGTTTGGAAATGTATCAAGTTATTATTATTACTGTATACAATTTCCACACAGTAATGGGGAAAATATAGGAGTATTTACCGGTTGTGTTTCATGCACCAATTTATCCAGGAGCAGATGATATTTGAGGATCCTTTGCATCGGCACTGACAGGATATCTCGCAGCTGTATCCGACCGTCACTGTGTTCCTTCTGACATTTCTGTTGACAACAGATATTGAACCCTAATGTGTATTGTCGTATAAAATATTTTAATTAAAGTATGTTATACATTACAGTACATTAATTAAAGTGTAGTTTACTTTTTACATTTATATTAATTTAATATCCACATTTTGCCAAATTTTCCATTAAAGTTAATTAAAGCGAGGTTTCTTCTGAAATTTCATATGCCTTCAAAAACAATCTTCATTCATGAATAATATAATTTAAATGTATACAGCGGCAAGGATGTAATTGAGTAACAAATAAAAGTGCTTTCAGTTTCGTTTGTGTCATTTTCGTTAGAATTAAAGCCGTATCGAATATTTACATTTACATGTATTCTCAAAAGACGCTCGGAATAAATTAATTATGAACACCTTATAATTTCGTTTTATAATTTAGCAGAATAATGAAAACCCTATGACAACAATAATTTATAATATTTAATGCACTTATTCAAAGATACATATATACTATACTAAATAACTGAAGGTCACGGTTAGAATCCATGATCAATTTTCTTCATTTTCGAGTAAACTGCATAGCAATAAAAAAAATTAGGAGTCCTATCTCATCAATAACATTTAGTACATACCGCTAGCTGTTTATTGAAGATGGGGTCTTTAGCGTCCAACATCTTTAAGGTTTCCTGAGCATTGGTAAGGTTCGAGCAGTAGTCTCCGTACAGCAGTAGCCGCTCCCGCCACGCTAGGAACACGTCGGCGAGTCGCGGCGCACCACTGCCAGGCACGCACGCATCCGTAGCCAATTTCAGCTGCCGTAGTAAGCCTGAGTGGATTTCATGTAGTTCCTGGTATAAAAGTATATGAATATTAATTTCAATTTGTGACACAATGTTAAAAATTCACATAGAGCCGTCTCCTTCTGCGAGTAAGTTATGATTGATAAGTCATCTGTCCTCCATAAGCGTAGGCGTGGGGGAGCACAAAGGGAACATGACGGTTCCCACACATGAGGGGGTCATCTACCCGCCGTAGATGGCCGAAGGTACGACGTATAAGGTATCATTATCTAATACATAATCATACAAAAACTAATTTTTTAAGTAAATCTCGAGCCTTTTACAATGTAAAGGCTACAACGTTGGATTAATACTTAAAAAAATTCTGGCTTATATCGTGGGTTTAATGCAAAAATAAACCAAGTGAAGTCAACTTAGTTTTTATTTATAACATTTAAAATAATTTACCTGATAGAGTTCTTTAAAAAATCTTGAATACTAAGTAGGCCTTGATTCGGAATAAAAACTTGTATTAATATTTATAAAGGACAAACGGTTTCAGGTTGTAGCGCCTAACACCGTCGCGGAAGGTCGCCTCAGCTCCTGTAGTTTTGTGTAGCCTACATTTCAAAATAAAATCTTTTTATACACCCTAACTTGTACCACTAATGAATTCAAGGTCTACTTATATTTTGACATTTGTTTTTTGTTAGGGTAAAGATTTTGAAACATAACATAATTTAAAATGAAGTTGACTGCCTGCCTTAGTTGATTTTTGCAGTAAAGCGATATTTTCTCCCATTTCTCACCTTAATACCGAAGAATACAACTTGAGCGTCCTGAGGCTTGAGATACGGCGTTAGTGGCCTCAAGAAATACTTGACAATTTTGCCTAAGACATCCACATAGTTATTTTCTGTATCAACCAGCTCCCTTATTACATAGTCCCTTTTCTCTAAGCTGTGTGACGATGTTGCTAGCTGTAAAAATGTAATGTTTTTATTTAATAAGACATTCTTCAAGGCTAAACTTGTGTAAAGGCGTCATGCATTTCTATTTACTTATGCACCCTACACGGCCTGCAGTGCAGTGGCGTAAGCACATGTGAACCTTTTACATCTCTAGGTCTGCTATGTGCAAATTTACATGGCAATATTATCTGTGGCGCTCCGTTCTATTGATAGAGAAAAAAAAAACAATGAAAATGAACTTCGATCCTGTATGACTGACTTGCTCAGTGCTTCAATCGCAAATGTTGTAATAAATTTGGTAATAAATCTCGAAAAAAATTGCAAACAATCCTCTTTCTGCAGATTTCTTGGCGATTTACAAAACTAATATTTATTTTAGTCGGACATTCAGTCAATATCAGCTTAGAGAAACCCTGATATTGACTGACAGCTGATAAACAAAATTGGTACATATGTATATGTAGATATAAGTTTATAAATCAATTGTTATGAAAATATCAGAGTTCCACCAAAAACATTTTCATCCCAATTTTTAACTAAAAACAATTTATTTATAAGTATTACACACTTACTGCGTGATATCCACTTATTTTTATCATGAGGAACGGAGCGCTACAGAGTCCGGCGTTAAAAAAATAGTGATAGCAAAACTAATAGGCAAAATGTAGAAACATCGTGATCGTGGAGCGATGGCGGAATGAATAATTCAATGAACGTACAAAACGATTCGATAAACTTTTACTTGTTTGGTTGGAATTTAATATGTCCGCGATTGGTACAGTTTTTAAGACCCATGTTGTCATTTTAAGCGATACAGGAGTTTGTTTTATTAGAACTACAAATAAGCCTCCTGTGAAATTTAAAGATAGTATTTATTTAAGCAATTAAGCAATTTTATTTTCCGTCCGGTCCGTGTGGTGACGGATTAAGAATACAGTGTCACCACCCCTATTCATTCCGTGGGTGTCGTAAGAGCCGACTTAAGGGAGCAAACTACGCAGGACAACAGCACTGCAAAGAGAAGGAAAACTTGACACAAACCCTATACCAACCCTTCTGGCCAGCGTGGTATAGTAGGCCAAAACCCCCTTACTAAGGAGAGGCCTATGTCCAGCAGTGGACTATTAAAGGCTGTTGATGTGATGATGTGATTTTTATGAATTAAAAAAACAACTAGTATTATTTAAGAATCAGACGAAAATTAATTACTTATATCAATTCTACACGAATATCTCATACTAGCTTATACTAGCGGTTTTACTCGTATAATAATGTACATTTTTTCCATTATAATACAACCGAGACCAGTCCTTTTTTCGAACTGAAACCTACGGTTTTTCTGTACTTCAAACGAGTACTTACTTATGTAAAAAAAAATGATTGGTATAGTATTCAGGCGTGGGAACTTAATAAACAAACAAAAAATTCAACACTTTCCCTTTTAAATGCATTTTTAGGTGAAATCATGATTCTTGACTAAACTTTTGACATTTAGGAAAGAGAAGAGCATCGTCACCAAAGTATGGAAGAATGTATTTAATAATAAAAATGCATAAAAACTCGATTATTAGGAAAGAAAAAATGATGTCGTGCTGAAGTCTTGCAGCTTTTATGCACAAACCCTCGATAACAGATACGTATTTACTTTTAATCATCAGTTATAAAGAAATGAGCAAGCTAATTTAATAAAATCATTAAGAAATACCACTACTTGTCATTATACTAAGCCACCATCGCCCGATCAAAAAACAAAAAGAATTAAAAAAAAAAACCCTGGCGTACTGTATGTAAAGCAGGCGTATGGACAGCGGCGGGCAGTTCGTGGGCCGTCTTGACCGCGCACAGGTCGTGGTAGATCTCCTCATCGTGGATGCGGGCGCAGTAGCTCGCGTACTCATTCACCTCGCGATCGGTCGTCGGTGCGGAAGCGCCGCCGCTGCGCACGCCCCCAATTTAACCACATGCATAAGCTTAAGATTCGCTTTCGCATAACTACCATTCTATTATAATTTCTCAATCTGAGAGGACCAAAAGCTCATCTGCTCAAATTACAGGTTGAGAAATTAATGACTATACTATGTTTGTATGGTAAACTCAGTAATCTTATCTCTCCCTTTGAGAAATTTGAAGAATTACAAGGAATTCTATCAACTAACAGAATGATATTAATACAAAAGCGAATACTAAGTAACATATAAAGTAACAACGTTTGAAATTACATTGGTTATTTCGGCTTCGGAGTACGTAAACTGTATCCGGAATCCATCGTTAGTGTAGAAATCTAATTAGAAATGCAGTTAAGTGTGATACAACCTTAAATTCATATCATTATGAATGGCATTCAAGGTCCAGACTTGAATGCTCGTTTTGAGTTAGTATTATTTTAACAGAATTGGTAATTTTTATTCACAATTCTTACATTAAGCTTGTTCAGATTCATTGCAGTGACTGCATTCTTCATACACTACGCTAAAGATATGATCCGATTAACCTTTATAACTTCATCTTGTGATAAAACGGTATTTTAACTTAAACTATACACAAAATAAAAAAATAAATGTGCGGTCATTTGCTGTCCGTACTTATTTAAATATAGAATGCAATGGGCGTTTTTGCGATTTTTCGCGTTGCGGCATAACACGGAGACTTTAGGGCTTTCGTTAAATCTTGGTTGTCAAATTAAAAACGTGTTCAACGCAGAAATATGTATGAATTTTACACCGTATTATAGTTTAAGAAACATTACATTTCGTGTACATTTTTAAATAGAAGCTCAGATTAATTCCAATAAAATCGTGAAGATTTAAAATATCATGACATGCCGTTACCGTGATATAATACAAAAACGCCCAAACAATTCATTTGAACAAATATACAAGAGCACAAAAATGCCAAGTGTACATCTATACAACTACCATAAAGTTACAAACTACCGAAATACAGTGATAGAGAATAAATTACAGGATATGTTAGCATACTTTGATAACAAGAGTAATCATTTTCAGAAGTGTAATTGGAGTGAAGTTAAATGGAATGACTGCGATGTTTCATATTTTATCTTGAAAATATTTGCTAGTAAGTTCGTTTCTGCATAAAAAATATAGCATAACTTAAGCAGAGAGGAGTGCCACAAGGTTGGTCCCTAGGTCCTTGTCTAGCTGTCGAGTTTTACAGTTAAAAATATATTGAGCGATCTGGATGCTATTTCTTTCAACAGGTTTAACCTGTATAAAAAGCTTGATCAGATCAGCGTTCAGCAAAATTAAGCCTATGTGATTAATGAAACTATTATATAATAGGGTAGGTACCAGGGTTATTTATGAACCCATTTTTTATAAGACGACTGTGTAAGGCAGGCATGGAACTTAGGGGGCTTATCAACTAGTTATTTTGTTAGAGCCACCCCGGGGTGAGGTTGGTGTGTGTTATACAGGCTGAGTATAAAAAAATTATCAGATATAGTTCAGCATTTGTGTATATAGAAGTGGAGTACTCTTAGCGATGTTATTTATTCAACATTGACCAGCTAACATAACCTTGGTATTATTAACAATACTTATAAAAATTGATACACCTAGTGTCCCGTATCTTCAAGGTGTATACTGATATTTTTAACACTTGAGATAGTACAAAGTATAATTTAATATATTGATGTATTCAAAACGAGCTTGTCATTATATTTTCCCTCGTACAATTTGTGTAATGTGGGGGCGAAACGTAGCAATATACATTTATTTGTGTATGTTTCTCTCAACAAATTAGGTTTACGCGTCAATAAGTTGTCGCATCCTTAAAATTAACATAAGTTAATACTTATTCCATGTGGTGACGGGATAAGAATACAGAATGTCACCACCCGTATTCATCCCGTAGGTGTCGTATGAGCCGACTAAGGGAGCAAACTACGCAGAACAACAGCACTGCAAAGAGAAGGAAAACTTGAAACAAACCCTATACCAACCCGTCTGGCCAGCGTGGTATAGTAGGCCAAACCTCCTTTCTGAGGAGAGGCCTATGTCCAGCAGTGGACTGTTATAGGTTGTTGATGATGAGACTTATTCATTTAAGGTGTAGTTGCTATCTTTTGTAGTCTTTCTGATATCTTTGTTTGATTGCTCACATACGTTGATCGCATACTTTGTCGTATCTCAAGTGTTTAAGAATCTGTATTTTCTATATGTAAGCTAATGAAAGGCATGCCCGTGTATGAAGCATATCTACACGTCGAACTATTTGCTCTGAAGCAACGACCACCGCTGGTGCTTGCGAAAACGTTTGGTACATATTAATGCTTGTCTTTACACAAAATAGTAACCTTGTATTAAGGATATTCACAATAAAAAGTATTTTTAATACATTCGATGTAGGAGACAGGAAATTCTGCAGTTTACTTTAGTAGACAACTTGATCTTGATCACGCTTGGAAGTCACTGCATCGAATTTTCAAAGGTTTCACTAAATTAAAAAATTTGTGTCTACCGTCTTATTCATGGAAAAAGATAAATATTGTAAAAACTTTCATTCATTTAGAACTTTTCTTATTTTTAACCGACTTCCAAAAAAAACACAAAAGACGAGGTTATTTTGCATCGGTTTAGCAATATAATTGTCAATCCAAATTCACTTAAAATTCTTGATTGCCAAAATTATATAAATATATAATAACTTTTATCAATCTAACTTATACATATTGAAATCATCTTAAATCTTCTTAAAGTTTTCATTAATATTAAATTAAAGTAGAAACAGTAGGTAGCTGCTGCAAACCGTTCAAGAGTTTCCTCTGGCATCAGATGCACTAAAGGTTGCCGACATGTTGGCAAATCATTAACCCTACATATAAATATAAATGGGACGTTCGAAATATGAAGAAGGAATGATCTAAACCAGATTATTCTCGAAAAATAAACGCGTAGTCATACATACATAGAAAACACCATTTAAATTTAAACAACCTCTGTTTTTTCGTCTTTAAAAAAAGCTCCTTCCTAATTGAAGGAATGATGTTATTAAGATATTTCACTCATTTGTCATCCTAAAGTAAGCCTAATAACCGCACCATAAAAATATGTTACATATCCTAGTGCGTGCGTATATTTTTTCTTTTGACGTCATAAGAAAACTAGGGAATTGATAAAAACAGATAATTATGTCGCACAACCCACACCCACGTCACGTAGTACACCTACGTTTGTCGATAACGAAATCTGATTCTATTCCCAAAGGACAAGTATATTTCGAAAGATTGAAGAATATTTCTGTCCAATCTAGAACACACGATAAGGCTATAGAGATACGATCTATATTTAATTAATTTAATTGCTCTTTGCAGTACGACTTAGGCAGTTGCCGCGGTAGACATAAAAGACAATAACGCTTTATTTAGTATGAACCGGGGGAGAGAGCGCTTTGATAACGATAACATCAGACTGTCTCGTCCCAACGCGACTCTTAACAACAAAATTTGGTTATCCACAATATTAGCATGTAAGACAAATATACTTTGTTATTAATTAAGGGAATTGTTGTCTTTGTGCTATCTTTGTGAGAGATGGGAGACATAAAATGTTTAACAAAACTTGGCAAAGTCAAAACAAAAAACTGAATACAACATCAATGTGGTTTTTATTTGACTGTCCTAGTGAAATTAGGTCTGTGACGTAATACTAAAAATAAAATATTATGAGATACCTTTTTCAGTATTAATTAAATCACAGTACTTTTCTTTTTTAAACCAATAACCAAAGATTTGGCACTAACAACGGTATGACGTCTTAATTTATCATTTCACACAGATTTCCACAGATTGTACCATTTTAATGTTTAATAAAGAGACTGATTTGACTTGACAGTCAATTACCGCATTTATTATGTAAAACAAATAAAGCATTCTCGAATACTCCCTAATTTATGTTTATCCATAACGTAAAGAGAAATACGTGACTATTATGTACAAACAGCGGAGTTTTGGAACGAATATCTTTAGGAAAAATATACGAAAAACGAATTCGTTTACGCTCGAACAAAGAAAAAGGAGTGAAGTGGAAAATACAGATTACACATGCCTTAGTCAGTAGCAGTCAGTAGACAAATGCGAATTCATAAACACTAACGCCGATGGTATGGTCAATACGACGGATATATTTTCATGTGTTTAAGAGTCTTAAATACTAATAGTTTTACTTCTAATATGTATTGTACTCTTTGCTACAAATGGTCAAAATAGTGTCAACAAGTAAAACAAACACAGTGGCACATTTTTTTTTTAAATCCAACTTTTAAACTCATACAATAATACATTGGACCAGCTTGCACTGGCTGAAGTCAAAGCCTGACAGTGAGCTTGGGACCACGGCTAGACCTGGTAGAAACATGTATCAAATCTAAGGTAGGGTCGAGTAGCTAGCAAACTCAGCTTTTTTCCAAATCTACTTTCGGGATGTAATATTTTTTTTTGTGACGAACCTTACTGCAGGTAATTAATCTATTTTTACCAGACGAATGTTCTTCTTCGTACAAAAAAAAACTAATTAACGGAAACATTTTCTTCTGTTTGAAGTAACGTTTTCAAGTAGGTATATAAAAACGGGATACTATATGCTTTTAAAAAAATCAATTCTGTACCGGTTTTTGGTACAAATTATTTTCAGTATTTCGACATTTAATGACACGAAACCCACAACAATTGAATTTAAAATACAAAGTTATGATCTGAGAGTGTTTTCCCTTTTTTTAAGGTTCAAGGAACACTACACCGCGTGTGGCAGTAAAATCTTGTGCGATAATCACCGCAGACATTTTCTTATCTATAGTTTGCGTCCAATCACAGATGATTAGCGCCGAAAACTAATGATCGATTTCTTTCTACAGATATAGCCGGCGCCTGTTAGACATCTTTAATTGTGTCTATAAGTAATGTCTCATTACTTTAATAGTACCCTTTATTTTATAAAGTTTTATTTTAGGGTTTGAGAGCGTTGGGATGGTTGATGGATTGTACAAAAAAAAATGTTTTTATGTTTATCGCACAGGGGGCAACTGAGTATAGGGGTCCTCTGACGATAAGTGACTGAAGCCGCCCATGGACACCTGCAACTAAAGAGTCCCCTCCCCCCTCCAGAATCAGTGGGAGGAGGGATTTGGGCTCCAGTAACCTAACGCACTAAATTTTATTAGGATAGTGTTTACAGGTTGATTGTTTTAGACGAAATCGAGGAAGGCTCTTTCGTCTATTGAAATGGAAAACTCATGAAAGCCACACATCATACAACTTTCACACTCATGTATTAAAGTTGTATGAGCATGTCTGGGATTGTATAATCATATAACGAGTTGTAAAATTCCCGATAACAACATAACAGTAATAATATCTCAACGTATATTTATATTATTCTATAAATATACCAAATGTTTTTGGGAAATCGTTTTGTATTTTGCACGTAATTCGATGTTTGCCACATTATTAGCAAATTGTCATAAAAAACATCCCGCCCACCCTGATGTCGTTGACTACACACAAAACAGTGGTATGATTGGCAATCCTTTCTCTCTTCCATGGAGAGCTAACAACTTTAACCATCAGCAAAAACGAAAGACTACCAAATACTAGGAATATTTAGACGAAGATTTTGTAAGGGGCTTGGCTCATGGCAACACTGGCATACGATAAAATGAGCATTTCAGTAGTTAACAGCAGTACATAAACGTAATTCCAGAAATTCCGCACAGCATTTTACTATCCCACACACGCTGTTCGATGTTCAAAGAACAGCGGTTACACGATCGAAAATAAAAACTTAGCATAACAAGATTACCAAGAAGTAGTTTCGTTCCAACTTTACGCTTATCTGAGGGCCGAGTGCTAGTTTATTTCACATCGACTCGCTCTCGACGGCGAGCGCGTTTAGCGTTGCGATTGGTGGAGATTTCAGTGCAGGCCAATCGCAACGCCGAGCGAGTTGATATGAAATAAACTCGCACTTGGGCCTCTGTAGCGTTATCGAGTTCGAGTAAACGCAACCGCATCAACTGTTTCAATTGACAGTCGCAAGAATTCGCATGACGTCACCGACCCAAGGCACGGTCGTATTCTAAATTAAAAATGACTTCCGTAACTATTGTCAATTCGCATCGTTCCACGACTGAAACTTTCTAACGGAATGTTTAATGTGAAAAAAGTTGTTTCGACTTCAAGTGCATAAAGACTTTTCGTTAGTCCGTTGATTTGCAACGCAAAATTTCGTCGTTATTTACTGCATTGTACTATGTCACTAAATTAGGACAAAGTTCTATAAGTACTTGAGAACAATGCAAGTTTGTTAATTTAATTATAATTTTGAAACATCGTATCTACGAAACCCGATACTTATCAAGATTAAAAACATTTTTACAGGACAACAACACTGCAAAAAGAAGGAAAACTTGAAACAAACCCTTTTTTTTTTTTTAACGTGTGGAAATCCCCTCGGACCGTCACCCCACCGGGGTTTGCGGCGGGGTGGTGTGTCGGACTCGGACCGACTAACGGACCGACCGGTGTGCCACTCTGCGCCTGTAATAGGAGGGATCCGGGAACAGCTGTTATCAAGACATCCGGACCCCTCCTAGCGCCGGCCCGCTCCTGTTGCGGCCTCCGTCTCAACATTTTTTTCCTCTCTTTAGGCGACGTCCGGCACACGCGGACGCCCTATACCAAACCGTCTGGCCAGCGTGTCCAGCAGTGGACTATTATAGGCTGTTGATGATGATGACTCATTTAACGCTGTGCTTGCAAGAAATTGTGACAGTAGAATAATAAAATATAAGTGTGTATTTTTTTGTAATCTAACCGGTATTAACACATGAATGATGGCATATACACCGAAAAATATATAAAAATTAACATAGAACACTTAGGGGCTATAATCGTGAATTTGAAAATTCTTAACTGGTTAATATTTGGCTCAAGCTTTGTTGAATAACTATTTAACAAAGCTTGTTTATCTATATTAAGCAAAAAATCCCTTCGGATATTTTTTTTTTTTTTAACGTGTGGAAATCCCCTCGGACCGTCACCCCACCGGGGTTTGCGGCGGGGTGGTGTGTCGGACTCGGACCGACTAACGGACCGACCGGTGTGCCACTCTGCGCCTGTAATAGGAGGGATCCGGGAACAGCTGTTATCAAGACATCCGGACCCCTCCTAGCGCCGGCCCGCTCCTGTTGCGGCCTCCGTCTCAACATTTTTTTCCTCTCTTTAGGCGACGTCCGGCACACGCGGACGCCCTATACCAAACCGTCTGGCCAGCGTGTCCAGCAGTGGACTATTATAGGCTGTTGATGATGATGACTCATTTAACGCTGTGCTTGCAAGAAATTGTGACACTAGAATAAGAAAATATAAGTGTGTATTTTTTTGTAATATAACCGGTATTAACACATGAATGATGGCATATACACCAAAAAATATATAAAAATTAACATAGAACACTTAGGGGCTATAATCGTGAATTTGAAAATTCTTAACTGGTTAATATTTGGCTCAAGCTTTGTTGAATAACTATTTAACAAAGCTTGTTTATCTATATTAAGCAAAAAATGCCTTCGGATACTTTTTTGTAACTAACTAATAACATATATTAGAAAACACATTTCACGAGACGAGGATGCGAAACTCAAGGGACAATACTAATAAGATGAAGCAAGTGAGAACTACAAATGTACAATAGTCTTTTCGAGACAATGTATCATAAAATCGGTTGCCAAGACAAGTATTGTGTTAGTAAAGGTAACTTTATATGAAGCCAGCAAA